AAACAAAATTTTAACTCACAAAAAAAGTCCGGACTTACTGGCCTGACAGACACTGGAGAAACCCCGAGAGTATGGCCCCCAGACACCCTTTTAGCTCTGTAATGAAGTCACTCCCAAGGTTGACCATTCAGCCAAAGATTAGACAGTCCCATAAAACAAAATGAGACTAATGGGGCACAACAGTCCAGGGACAAGGACTAGAAGGCAGGAGGGGACAGGGAAGCTGGTAATAGGGAACCCAAGTTTAAGAAGGGACAGTGTTGACATGTCGTGGAGTTGTTAACCATTGTCATGAAACAATATGTGTACTAACTGTTTAATGAGAAACTATTTGCTCTGTAAACCTTCATCTAAAGTACAATAAAAAAATTTATTTTTTATTTTATTAAATATTTTATTACATCCATTACAGACAGGTATGGCTTTTTTTCCCCTTTATTCTGTTAATAAGAAAAATTATATGGAGTTTTGAGTATTAAACTGACTTTGCATTCCTGAAATAAATGACTTGTTCATTTATATATATTGATGGATTTAGTTTGCTAATGTTTTGTTCAGGCAGGGCTCTCCCACCTAAATAGTACAAGATGGTCCAACACATGATACCTGACTCTGGACAGATGAGATTGGTACCAGTTTATTAGCTACATGTACTCACAGCCCTGGAAAGAAGGGCACTTCACATCATTCAGGGTCATATGGGGGTTGTACTCAGGAAGGACGTGATTGGCTTGTTTGAGTAGGTTTATGGGCTGGCAGAGGAGACCTGGTTGCACAGTGGTTAAGCACTTGGCTGCTAATACAAAGGTCGGTGGTACGAACCCACCAGCCGCTCTTTAGCAGAAAGATGTGGCAGTCTGCTTCCGTAAAGATTTACAGCATTGGAAACCCTTTCGGGAAATTTTAGACTGTCCTATAGGGTCACTATGAGTCGGAATCGACTCGATGGCAAAGGGTTTGTATGGGCTGTCAGGGATGTGAAACCATTAGGTTGAGGACAGGATGGGGTGCAGCTGGTCCAGCTTGTAGGGGAACTGGCCAGGTGGGGAAACTTTCCCACTGGGTGAGGGATGTATTTGAAGAGAGTAGGGGAACTCACAGTTCCCTCTAGGGCCCTATGAGGCTCAAAGATGTCAAGGCAGCACTTGAAATTTTAGGTCATACAATACACTACGTTGCTAAGATATATTGAAGCATAAAATTTTCATTTCTTTCTTATAATTTTCTTCTGAGGTTTATGAAGTTTACCCTGGTGTCACGAAACAAATTAGGTAGTTTCTTCTTTTTTATTTTATAAAATATTTTGTATAAGATGAGGTGATTTTTTCCCTTAAATATCTTTACAGATTCACTCTTGAAATCTCATGAGCCTGGAGTTTCTTTGAGGGAAGACTTAAACTATAGGTTGAATTTATTCTATAGGTACAGAACCATTTAGATTTCCCATTTTTTCTTATGTCAGTTTGGTGAGTTGTATCTTTATGAAAATTTATGCATTTCCTTTAACTATTAAATTGATTGGTCTAACATTGTTCATCATAACCTCTTCAAATTGTTTTAATGTTTGCAGGACCTGTAGTGATGGCCCAAACAGCACAAAGACCTTAGAATATTTTAACTCCATTTTCTCCCTCCCAATTATTTTTGCTATTTTTATATTTTTATTGTGTGTATGTATATATAACCACAAGAAATTATTAATGTATTTCATAGTTGATATATATTTAGATTTACTCTCATAATTACCCTTTCCATTGCTCTTCTATACATCTTGTATCTCTGTGATTCCATGTAGGATTGTTTCCTTCTGCCTGAAGAGCTTTGTATAAGTGTACTGCAGACAAACTCTCTTACTTTTTGTTGTATTTTTTTTTGTACAAGTTATTTCTTTCACTTACATTTTGGAGGAATATTGTCACTGGGTATAAAATTCTAGGTTGGCAGTTTTCTTTTTCCTTTCAGCACTTTGAATATATCATTCCACTTTTTCCTGGCTCCTTTTTTTTTTTTGTTTTTTTTTTTTTAAATGAGAGCCTAATCATCATTATTGTCTTAAGCTGGGTTCCCTAGAGAAGCAAAACCAGTAAAGTGTATAAATACACACAGAGAGAGATTTCTATCAAGGACATGGCTCACTTGGTTGTAGAGGCTGGACCATCCCAAGTCCGTGGGTCAGGATAGAGGCATCTCCTGATTTACATAGCAGCAAGGGCTGACGAGCCCAAGATCAGCAGATCAGACAGCAGGGTTCTTGCTCACAGGCTGCAAAGATGGACAAACCCCAAGATCAACAGGAGAGACTGCAGGTAAGCTGCTAGCTCAAGTCCCGAGAACCGGAGGTCAGATGAACAGGAGCCAGCTTCAGGATCCAGAGAGAGCAAAGGCCCCTGAGCCCTGCCAGAATGTCCACTTGAATTAAATGCTGGCCACACACCCAAGGAGACTCCCTTTCAACTGATTGGCTATTCACAACCTCTGATTCTCATCCAGGCCACCTAAGCTGAGACCTTGAGCTCAGAACATTCTCTGATAAAGAGGCTGGGAATTGGGTCTCTCTCTCTCCCAGTCCCTTCTCCTTGTCAGAGAAGTCTTTCTCCCTGTTATGAGCTCATAGTAACTTTTTCTGTCTCTTATGCATGGGCAACATATGGCACCTGGCCAACCCCACTGACTTCATGACTACGGTAACAGCAAAGAATGTGCCCCATGGGGAACAGACCCCTTTGTGTTTTTCTAACCCACTGTATCATTAATCAGAAAATGCAGGCTTAAAAGATTAATCTTGTAGCTAGAGGGGGAGGAATGTTCTTTCTGGTTATGTACCTTGCTCATAGGATGGCTATGGTATGTGCAACTGAATAAAAGACACATCCCCAGTAACAACGTGGCAAATCCAGCTGCACCTGAACAAAGACCCCTTCTTCTTACCATCTTTTGCCTTTCCCATGAAATCCAACACATATGCCCCTCTGGTTTATACTACATAAATCTCAGGTCTGAGTTCCCATTTGTTCCCTCACCCACGATGCATCAACGGGGGTGCATGGAGGTAACTAAATATCCCACCCTTGGAGAGGAGCCTTTTGGGGGAATCCAGCTCAGGATAAACCCTACTCTGTTTATCATCCTCCTGATTACTATGTAAGTAATAAAGGTCTGTGACCATTTCAGTGAGTAGTGTAATTATTTGTTCTGATCCAAGGAGCCCCGCACTGCCTGATTTATTTTACTTGGTACATTACAGAATTCATTATACTAGCACAACCAGCCTGGGACTACCATGGTTTAAAGAATAGTAGTTCTAGGGCCAGTGGAGTATCTAATACTCCAAACTGAACTGCCTGAGCTTCCCTGACCTTGTGGGAAACACATATGAACCATGTGCTCTCACTAACCTGCTAACATCTCAGGGGCCTGAACAACCTGCTGTGAAACCTCATAACTGAATTATTCCTATAGTCAGGAGAGGGAATGCTTCTCTTCTCCCTTGCAGAGGTGGCCAAGTTGTTAAGACCAGACACTAGTGGTGGATATGCAACTAGGCACAGTGAGTCCTCACTGGCAGAGACCCAGTCAGAGAGAAGGCCAGAAGCTGTGACTTCCAGAAATGTCATACAGGTGTAGATATGTGTAAGATACTACCTGGGGGCCTCACAAGATTATTTTGGGAAGGGAGTTCTTTCCCAAAAACAAGGCTTTAGTCAGTGAGATTTTTGTGTTAATGTGCATGCTATTTTTGTGTTCACTTGCTGGTTAGAGTCCAGGACATTTGGGCAATGTCAGGACTGGAATGAACTTGCATGAGCCCTTTGAATGGCACCTGGTACATTCTGCATGTGCAATAAATGGGAGTTCCCCCATTTTATCATGGCTTCTGAGGGCTGGGGTGGGTTTCAATTGTGAGACCTTCCTGGGAGTCCTACTGACTGCATAAGGACTCTGAGTCCCAGACAGATTTGCAGGTAGAATGACCAAGAACACTGCTTACAGGGTTGTTGCTAGACCAACGAGTCCTAGGTTAGATAAGCAGAAAGGTGACAGCAAGCTCCAAGCTGGAGGTATGTGGACAGCTCAAGTCAGGCTTGGCTTCAGACCTCAGGCAGGAAGAATCAAGTTCATGTGGGTTGGGGGAGGAAGGGAGGGTAGGCAGTTGGTCTGGCTCTTGCAGTCTTGGGGAGAGTGGGTCCTGTGGAAGCAAGTGAAGAAGGCTCTGAGAGTCCACTCCAGGAACAGAGCTCTGAGGACTCTCAGTCTGAACTTTAGCTTTCAGCCTATTATCAGGACCATTCTCTGTCTGCCTCCAACCCACTTTCCCCAGCCCCACCCACATCTGAGAGACCTCTATACAAGCAGGCCTGGGACCCCCTTCCTCATCCACTGGCCTGGTGTCATTTACCCCAGTCCAGGAAATGTCCCAACCTCCTGGAACTTCCCCTCCCTCCATCTCCACTGGTCAGTCCTTCCTCCTCCAAACATGACATGCTGTCTTCTCTACTTTGGTGAAGCTCTTGCTTCTGTGCACTGTAGATACCTGTGAAATGTCTTACTTCCTCTGAAAAGTTGCATGATCCCTGCAGGCAGGAGCAGCATCTGTGTCTGCAGACCCCCAGCTTTCTGTAGACAGGAGACCAGGACCATATGGCCCAGCTCCCTCAGTGTCTCTTTAGTCTGCCTCTGCCTGCTCCATCCTAGAAGCCAAGTGGGTGAGAGTCTCCATGTGATTCCCATTCCCTTGCACAGGGAATCAGACAACTGATCTCCAAGGGAAGATGGAGAGTGCACAGAGGAGCAGAGGGGCAGTGTAGCCTGGAAGAAGGCTGTGAAAAGGCACAGAAGAAGGAGGAACAGGATGGGTCTTTTATTTGTTTTTGTTTCATTTTTTTCAAGTTTGGTTTGGGGAGTGGCAGGTGATGGACAGGAAAGCCAAGGAGAAAGTAATGGAAGGTTTTTGCATGGAGATTGGGGCCTGGAGTAGATAAAAGGCTTAAGGAGTAGAGGGGTCACCACAGGGTCTGCCACAGGGCCTTCAGGATACATAGCAGCAAGAACAAGTTCTGTGGAGGCATAAGGCCTATGCAGGGCCTAGGCAAGCAGGCAGCGGCTAGAAGCTGGCGTTGAAGTTGGGTCTGAGTAGGAGCAAAATTGGGATCAGGAAGAGGTGTGACCCTTTTGATTCCATCAATCCAGTTGGCAAAGTAGGTGACACTGGTGAAGATGCTGGGGTAGATGGGATGCCGGCAGTCAAAACCCCAACTGGCCAATCCCACCAGAACCCAAGTACTGATGAGCTGACAGATGAGCGGTCCCCCCGAATCACCCTGAAGAAAAAGAGAGGAGTTAGCATTGGGAATGGAGCCAGTTCTGAGAATATCAGGTGGCAAAGTAGGGGAACACAGGTGTCTCCACTCATCAGATTCACATGAGTAACACTTTTTAAACGTCAATACACCATTGTCCTACTGGATACCTACTGAATTAAAATCTCATGGGTGGGGCTGGAATAGAGTTTCCAAAAGCTCCTGAGCTGATCCTCAAGGGTGGCAATCACGGATATATATATATATAAACATGTTGCTGTGGATTGAATTGTGTCCCCAAAAAGATAAGCTGAAGTCCTAACCTCCAGTATCTGTGAACGTGACCTTATTTGGAAATAGGGTTTTTGCAGATATAATCAAGTTAAGATTAACTTTCTAAGCACGAGTTAAAGTGGGGAGATCAGTCAGGATGAAACTATAGTAGAAAAGGTAAGAGGTTATTGATGCTGACTGGGGCCAGGGCAGTGACAAATGGTCAGGTTTGTGATAATACTTCGAAGGAGGAGCTAACAGAATTTGTCAAATCTGACCTTTTCTGACCAAC